AATTCTATGGAATAAGTCAATGAATGTCTGGTTTGCAATGTTTACAACAAGGACATTTAAGTCTTCAAGAACATTAACCTGTGTCTGCACTGCAAAAAGCTAAAGGGAAATGGATTCTGAAAACATGGATTCTCTAAACTAATGGATTCTTTTTTCATTTTACACTTTGGTCCAGAGAACAGATTAATATTCTATCTTAGAAGTAAAAGTGAGACAATGCTCTTCTAAATAAATTTAGTTACATTTATTAATTGTCAAAATTCCTTCCACATTTTCAAGTCATCATCTCATATATACCATGAACCCCTTTCTATATTGACAGTGGAACTTTGACACTTATGGTGTAAATCTGAAATTGTTACTGAAAACATAGCATAGTATCAGAACATATGAACTGAGATAATGCACTTCTTTTCCTTGCTTTTTAGTTCTTCATGTGTCAGCCAGTGTAATTTATCTACCGATTTCTTTGTGAGAGTCAAATAACTGAATCACAAAAATTCTGAGCTCCTTTCCAAGCTCTGCCTCACTTCCTCTATGACTTCAGAAGTCAATTAATCTTTTTTTTATTCTATTTCCCCTTGTGAAAATGGAAGCTGCAAACCATTCCCTTATTTTCCTTCTTTCAGATATGACTGCTGTTCTCCAACTCATATATTTGATACCAAAACATAGGCTAACTTAAAGTACTGTGCTGCAGACCAAAGGTATGTATGTTCCTGTAGCATTACTTGAGACAGCTTTAATGCACGTATCTCAGGTGTGGCAAATAGGATAATTATGACTGCATGGAAAAAAATCTCCAGGAAAGAACATGTGAGACAAAATCTGCAGAACTCCAGTTTCACTGCTATAGGTACTCTAGATAAATTAAAAAAAAAAAAAAAAAAGCCCAACAACAACAAAAACCTGGTTAGGCCACTACATTTATTTAAAAAATATTAAGTATATAGTAATTTGGAAAAAAAAAAAAAAAAGAAAAAACAAAAAATATTTCTAACAAAGCTGCAAGAAACATGAGAGACTTGACAGAACCAGTTGAATGGACATGAAACAGAACAATGAAAATCTCTACTTAGAGATTGTATGTCTAATTAATAACATAGGAATTAATATGAAAATTCTGCATTGTCCATTCTCCAAATGATGATAATATATCTTGAGCTACCCCTATGTATATTAGGAGAAATAGAAGTTAATGAAAAAAAAAAAAAAACAAAACCACAACAGATATATCATGATCAAAGGCTGAAAAACCTGGGAATATATAAAGTTCAGTTGAAAGAGAAATTATAAGAAAACGTAATAATCCATAGTATTTTAAAAGTATAATGGAATCCTTTCATGACCTTTCTCATAATGATAAAAAGAAACCATCACTAAAACTATTAAATAAAAGACAAAAGCAAATAAAAATAAACCCATTTTGATAGCCTTCAGGGGATTTTCCTATTAAAAGATACCCTTCAGGCCAGTAACTTGAAGAGGATTAATGACTTGAGATAAATTATCTTCATCATCATTATTACTGTTGTTATTATTATTTAGAAAACCACAGTTTAAAGCACATGCTGACTATTAACTGTTAAAGTCAGGAGCATAGGTAATTCTGAAAATATCTGACACAGGGCTTTTTTTAACTTTCCTTTGAGATATGTGGTATTAGCCATGACTAAAAGACCAGGAAGCTCATTTACCATGGTAGTGTCTTTACCCTTGATTTACAAATACAAATGTAATAAAAATGTTCTTGATAAAATTACTGTGCAATTTATGTTACGCCATTCTAACAGCAAAATTAGAGAAGAAGGCTGCACATATGAGCACAGTTTCCTTGTAAGTAAAGCTCCAAGGGCAGGGGATAAATTAACTCAGAAGTTACTTCTGGTTCTGCAGATTTTACTAATTAACAAGATCTTTGCATACTGAATTTTCACAGTCAATCTGCTAACATTTCTTTTTTTTCTTCCCTTTTTTTTTTTTTCCTCCTGCATCTGATACCGCAGCTAATCATCAGAACAAAACTTCAATTTACATCTGACAGTCATGTAGGCTGGTAGGTAATGTACAGCATAAAAAAAAACTAACTCCCTTACCCTGTATTTTCTTTCCAGCATTTTATCCTCTCCTGAGAAAATAGAAAGAGGCCTCTTAACAGCAAACAGAAAACTGAATTTCCTATTTACTTTGACTGTGAACTCAACCTTCTTACATTTGCCTTAACTATGAAAATTACTTGTATTTCCCCAGTCAGCTAGCAAAAAAAAAAAAAAAAAAAAAAAGTTGAGCCTACTGTGCTGAAAATTACTGTTTCAAACTTTAAAATCAAAGGAAATCCAAAGCAATTAGTTATAACTGCATTGTTTCACACCAATTGATATTAAATGGTAAATATTTGAAGCAATAGCAATTAATAACTAAGCTTCCAAAGTGCTGTTTCCATGGAAAATCTGCATGAAAATCAAGTATAAATTCTGATTAAAACCTAACCAAGCTAAACACTGCAGATTACCTAGATTCAAATTAAGTGTGACAAATGAACACTTGACAGATTTCAATTCCAATTCTATTTCTGTCAGAATGTTCCATTAATATAGAAGATTATATTATCAGAATTTGAACAATACATTTATACTTAAAATAGTTAAAATACAAGTGGACTTAAGAATCAGATCACAGAAAACTCTCATTCAAATGTCAGATATTGCACATATAAAGGAACAAAAGTACATTCTACCCTATTCTTTCATTATTTATAGATTAATGTTAACAAAAATATCTGGAGGCAGATGACATGACACTGTTGAAAACTTATTTTTAAAATGTGACAGCAAAATCCAAAAGTATGTGAAGCATAATTTTCATCACAGTGTCACCCACTTTTCAAAGGTCTCAGTTCAAGGTTTTATAAAGGAGAGGGAATTCCTGATTACTAAATGCAAATCCCACCATGCAATTTATTTTTTTTTTCATGGTAATTTTGTTTTCATTCACCTATTCATGGGATAATGTATTTGTCTAGCTTTATGTTTCTATCTGTTCTATCTATACAATACTGAATCCAACAAATTAATCTTACCAAATATAAATTATCATCTTTCAAAAAATCAAAGTACTAACATGCTTTAAATATTAGAATGCAATACCAGTTTTTGCATCAGCACAAAAACTTAAATAAACTGGTTTGCTTTCATTTTTGACACCACTCAAGCACTTTTCATTTTCAATTACACTTCAGTGAGTGTGATGATTTTCACTGGCTACTGAATATATTGAAAATTATATTCAACTGTGGCTCTATAGTTTTCCCAATACAGTTTAGACATACTCCATTTAGTATACTTTCTGAACTCAGAATTTAATGTCTACTGCACTGATATATGTCCAGGGAAATTAACAAATTGTTTAGTTTCGTTACCTTAACCACAAAATCTCACTGCAAAACAGACAACAAAATAATCATCCCAATTTAGGTACATAGTCTAGAAATTTTTTTCTGACATTTTTCTAGTAATACCAGTATCACTTTCTCCCCTCCCACACACCCAGAAAAATGAAATGTAAAGAGATATATTCATATAGACAACCAAGGAGAATATATAGACACACACTTATACACATATATAAACTAATATATCATCTTTTTAGATGGATAATACCATCTTCCTTTTTGGTCAGTTAGTCATCTGCTGTTGGGATATGCATTATAAGCATATGTAGACTGCTGTAGCCATTCTTCAGTCATACATACTAGATTTGGCAATATCTTACCACAAAGAATAATATATTTTTATTGGGTCAAGCCTATCTCAGGAAAGACAAAAAACAAAGAACAATTATCCAGTGCTGTAATGCCTGAAAAACTAAAACATGCACTTAGTCAAACTAATTAATTAATTCTACCGCAGAAAGCATACCACCCTTCTTTCATATACACCCAATTCCAACTGGATTAGCAAACCCATTATTTCATTCGTTATCAAAAATCTATACACTTTGACATACAATAATTTATTTTATTGTTTATGGGCAAATGAAAAGACAATGAAGTCAGTGTCTGACTTCATAAAATTTTAGATGAAGGCCAATAAATGGAGAAGAGTAAAACATTCAGGTTTTATGAAATACAGTTCAAATTGAAGAGGTTGGTTTTTGGTTTTTGTTTTAAATTTTATATAGATTTAGATAGAAAGGAAAATAAAACCTGAGATTTAGATTACCTTTATTTTGCCATATCTGGAGAATTACTATAGAATAAATAAAGATCCAGCATTTTTCCCTTCTACAGAAATAGACCCTGAATTTAAATGAGATTTTTAAAATGTATTATACAAAATAAACAGTGAAGAAAAGGAAAGTAATGTCCTTTTTTCTAAATAATGAAGAATGGACTTGACAGTGTTATTTTGAAAAGACTATAAAACATTTTGGAAGAAAAGGGAATTCTCTAGAATGGGGTTTTTAAATCCTGCTTTCTTTTGCTGATGCTGTACATACTACATTCTGGGAAATTTCCTAAGTAGTTGTTAAACCAAAAATGGAAGGAAAAGAGAATATATGTCCTTTATGGGTTTTTATCTAAAATTAAAAGTCTGGAATTTAATTCAATTACCATCTCCCCAGCCCTCTACTGATATTTTTTTTTCAATGTTTTAACTGTTTCTGCAGCATAGTTTTTAAATCGTATAAAGAAAAGAAAGTGCTGGGTTTATTTCAAGTGTTATGTTCCATTATTTTGTATATCTACATTTTAACAAACTTTAAAATAAAATAATAATTACAATTTTAGCTATTTAATATACTTATTTATGTCTGTGGACTGACCTTTCAAAAGTCTACTTAGTATCACTTGCTAGTGAGATTATGTGTGTGAATGTCGTGTTTGCCCCTACCATTTTCCATATGCTCTGCCTCACCAACACTGCCATCCGGCGTAGTCCTTTCGTAGTTGTCCTCTGGGAGTGGAAGGGCACCCAGTCTTGGCCCTGATGAACTCTTACTGCTTGGTGTTTCTGACTCCTCCAGACCGCTGTCATAGCAACTCTGCAATGACCCTTGATGCGGGTCCTGAGGCTGACTCACAACAGAAAACGTCACTCTACGAAACGGCTGCAAGAGAAAAGATTCTGAATGTCACTGAAAAGTTCGTTCTTTGAACAACTGATTCTCAAAACATGTCTTAAGCAAACTAATATTTTAACATTTACCAATTAAACAGTTTTGTCTAAATTAAAGAAAACAGCAAGTACAGTCCATAAAAGGCCACTGGACCTGTGGATTTTTACTGTGATATATGGTCCAGAACCTTCCCACAGTTTTTCACAGCCTTTCAAATGGCTGCATGAGCTAAGAAAACTGTCTTAGAATTATTTATAAATTCTGTACAGTTCCTCATTTACTCAATAGTAATAGTTTGACTGGAGTTTATATTGGATTGCAGAAATGTACTTGACAGTGTGTGCGTGTGTATGTGTAAGATTGTGCAGGTGGTTATAAATGCTCACCTGTAGACTGTATTGTGGGTATTAACAACATAGCACACCCATAAGCCTTTTTCTAAATCACTTCCTGTGGTTTTGAAAGCTAGCTGACATGAGAAAGGAGGAGAAAAAAAAAAAAAAAAAAAAAAAAAGGGGGGGGGGGGGGGGGAAAGGGCCATAGATGCTCAGTAGGATCTTTCCCTT